GCTTCTGGGCTTCCACTGGATTATTCTATACACTGAAGCTACAAAAATGTAAAATGTGAGCCTCACACCAAAATCACACCCAAGCTTGTTGGTATATAACTAGATACAGATATATAGTTTTGTTTTGTTTACACACACTTCCCAGATTACTGATCTAACAAATGTTACACAAAGTAGTTAACGATACACAGAACAGCCCTAGGTGTGCTATGGCCGGGGAGAACTGAAATAGCCATCAAAATGCTCACACTTTCTGCTAAAAGAAAGGACACTGTCTTCTATGCCATAAATGGAGTCACAACTGTGAACTGCTCTAGGAGTCCTGTCGTCTTATCTGAGAGTCAGTTCCTTTCCTGGCTCTTCTTGGAGGATCTCAGTGGAACAGTACAAACAGTAACCAGCTATCTCACACCCGCTTGAGTGTGGGATAAAAGACAAGCCTGGACCTGCCAGTGCCCTCCTAATTCCAAAGGACAGAGAGACTTTGTAGGGAACATGTAATGCCCACACTGCCCTTTTCTGCTGAGCATTTACAGCAAACACATTGTGGCTACAAAAGTGTGGTGCTCATATTATAAGAGAAAGGACCCACATGTGGGAAACAACAAATCTCACAGTGGTCTAGGGTTTCGTTTCCACATGTTCCTCTCAAAAAGGAAGGATGGGGAATTCCATGGTTCAGAACTATCCACCATCTTCAAAGTCTGCATCAGCAGAGAATCAGTACAAGCATACCTCGGAGATATTACCAGTCCAGATCAACACAATATAGCAAATAATCATGACAAAGAAAGTCATATGAAGTTTTTGATTTCCTAGTGTATACAGAAGTTATGTTTCCATATACTGTAGTCTACTAAGTGTGCGACAGCCATTATGTCTAAAGAACAATGTACTACCTTAATTTAAAAATTCTTTATTACTAAAAGAAAGCATGTAAATCAATGAAGCTAGAACACTTCCTTACACCATACACAAAAATCAACTCAAAATGGATCAAAGACTTAAACATAAGACAAGATACAATAAACCTCCTAGAAGAAAATATAGGCAAAATATTATGTGACATACATCTCAAAAATGTTCTCCTAGGGCAGTCTACCCAAGCAATAGAAATAAAAGCAAGAATAAACAAATTGGACCTAATTAAACTTACAAGCTTCTGCACAGCAAAGGAAACCATAAGTAAAACAAAACAACAACCTACGGAATGGGAGAAAATTTTTGCAAATGAAACCGACAAAGGCTTGATCTCCAGAATATATAAGCAGCTCATATGACTTAATAACAACAACAACATAAAAAAACCCAATCCAAAAATGGGCAAAAGACCTAAACAAGCAATTCTCCAAGGAAGAAATACAAATGATCAACAGGCACATGAAAAAATGCTCAATATCACTAATTATCAAAGAAATGCAAATCAAAACTATGATGAGGTATCACATCACATCATCTGGCCATCATTCAAAAGTCCACAAATGACAAATGCTGGAGAGGCTGTGGAGAAAAGGGAACCCTCCTGCACTGCTGGTGGGAATGCAGTTTGGTGCAGCCACTGTGGAAAACAGTATGGAGATTCCTCAAAAGACTAGGAATAGACTTACCATATGACCCAGGAATCCGGCTCCTGGGCATATATCCAGAAGGAACCCGACTTCAAAAAGACACCTGCACCCCAATGTTTATAGAAGCACTATTTACAATAGCCAAGACATGGAAACAGCCTAAATGTCCATTGACAGATGACTGGATAAAGAAGCTGTGGTATATTTATACAATGGAATACTATTCAACCATAAAAATGACAACATAACATCATTTGCAGCAACATGGATGTCCCTGGAGAATGTCATTCTAAGTGAAGTAAGCCAGAAAGAGAAAGAAAAACACCATATGAGATTGCTCATATGTGGAATCTTAAAAAAATAAAAAAAGAAAAGAGCATAAATACAAAACAGAAACAGACTCATAGACATAGAATATAAACTTGTGGTTGCCAAGGGGGCAGCGGGTGGGAAGAGACAGACTGGGATTTCAAAATTTGTAGATACTGACAGGTAGATGTAGAACAGAAAAACAAGATTATATTGTATAGCACAGGGAAATATCTACAAGATCTTGTGGTAGCTCACAGCAAAAAAAAAATGTGACAATGAATATATGTATGTTCATGTATAACTGAAAAATTGTGCTGTACCCTGGAATTTGATACAACATTGTAAAATGACTATAACTCAATAAAAAAAGAAAAAAAATTCTTTACTACTAAAAAATGCTGAAAACCTACGGAATGGG